TTCTAAGTGCTAGAAGTTGATACCACACACGCGAAACTCCAGAAGGGGACGGAAGCGGGTCGAACTAAAACGAGGCGGGTCCCACTTCTAAGGTTCTAAGATAGTCGAAGGGAGATTCCTAAGGCTAAATCTTAAACCCTAAGCGAAAGACTAGACCTCACGAAAATTGAGTTCAACAGCTCTGAGAAACATCATTTTACTAAAAAATTCCTTCCATTTTTTGAAGTCACTTGATAAACTTATATGGATCCACGTGTTCGTTGACATCTGATAAATTCAAATTTACTCCAAGATCCTTATTTTTTGATAAACCATGCCGAATCAAAATAGTATTTTTTTGTCATTGGAATCTTTCCGATGAAAGAGATTCACTTTCTCCGCTCGATCTGGCGAGTACCTTTGTGGCTACAAATGATCTCTCCCGATTTTCTTCTCTCACAAGCGACAAATCTCTTTTGCAGTTGATGGATTTGTCTTTGCATGTCTTCCATAGTGAGCTCTTGAACATATCTTTGTAGATTTCTCATATGAGGCATTGTGTACTTTTCTCTGGATTAGGTTTCCGACGGATGTAGGATCGCAATTCAAGGTTGGTCGGTTGTTTAGTTTTTTGGGATAGGTGTTGGGGTAGAATTTTTATGAAGGTAGCAAAATTGGATTTTTGAAAATTTTTAAGGTTTGTGCTAGGAATTGCGGTAGGAATGATTTGGGGAAAGTTGTATTGGTGGGAGTGTTAGGCTATGTTATTTGAACATTTGGTTTGGGGTAATGAAGACAAAACCGTAAAGATCTAGGGTTTGTCAGGTTGATGCCAGATGATACCCGTTTAGGGCATTTATAAGGTATTTAGGAGGGGATTTAGCGGGAAAACAATTGTGGATAGCGAGAAAATGAAAATATGGGCGGTTGGCGAGGCTTGGAATGGCTATGAGGTGTTCGGCGGCTGAAATCTACTGGGGAACAGCAGTTTCGACGCATTGACGGCTCTCCCTGCTGCAATCAGCGATCCAACAGCGATTCAGCGAGGTGCGGGCAGCGAGCCGGAAGGGTTAAATTGTA